CTGATTGGCAACCGGTTGGCCATCAAGTTGTGTAACCAAGTGTAGAAGCAAACATGTAACGCTCGGAGATCAACGGTACGTGGACTGAAGATTCGAACAACGTAACGTAGCTTAGTAACAGCCTCCAACGCCACCCGGTTGCCCTGAGGTTTGGAGCGGGCCGAAGGACGTCTACCGCCTTGACGTCTCCGAGGAGCACCGCGTTCTGCACCGCCGCATGCTGGACGACGGTTTGATCACGTCCTGGGCTCAGCAGCGTGCGCCCAACAAGCACATGTCCAAGGGCCACCAAAAATCGCGACCAAAACCAACAATGTCAAGCGCCGCGGCTCGTTCCCTCATTTCCCGGATCCCTATATCGGCGACTGGGTATTGGCATTGGCAGGCAACTGGAAAGAGAATAGGCAATAGGCAATAGGCAATAGGCAATAGTCTACTGCCCTAAGGCTCTTTGGTATGTGCATTGGAAGGGTCGGGATGTGCATTGAAAGGGTCCGGCCTAAATACCCTGCTGACGACGTTCCGGGGCTCTGGCAGTTCACAGTTCGACGCCCCGGGGGCCCAGACCCGTTTTGAGCGCACGCGACAAGGTCTGAAACCCAACTGGCCACTGGCCGCAACGACACCCCTGCGCAGAACAAAAATCCGTTTTTCAGAAAATTGTAAAAAAGGCCAGGCGCTATGGGTGAAGGCTGGGCGGCTTGAGTCCACAGTGTTATCGCTAACGCGTTACCTGTTGTTTCGGATGTACTTGTGGGCTGGTGATGTGTCTTCACTTGTTTGGTATTTCGCAGCTTCTTGACAGGAGTTTCGTGTTATCCCGTGTTTGCCAAAAGGTTGCTGGCTTTGCTTGTTTGTGCGTGTGTCTGACAGGCCCATGAGCCCTGCAAAATTCCTTTGGTTACGCGCTATCGCTGCTATTGGCTTGCAATGGCGTAAAGTCACAGTTTGTATTTATGGCCCAGTTGAGTGCCGATTAGAACGGCACGCGTCAAGGTCTGGCGTCGGAAACACGTCGGGAAGCTAACGCTTGGGCCCTCAAAACTAGGCAAACCGAGGGCCCGCGAGGGCCCGAGCGTCGGAAAGCCGTCGGAAACGTCGGGAAGCCGTCGGAAACGAAACGTCGGGAAGCCGTCGGAAAGATCAGGAAGCCGTCGGAAACGTCGGAAAGCCATCGGAAACGTCGGGAAGCCGTCGGAAACGTCGGGAAGCCATCAGAAACGCCGGGAAGCCGCCGGAAAGCCGTCGGACAGTTTTCAGAAACCGCGGAATGCCAGCATGAGTGAGAACGCCGTCGGAAAGCAGATGTCGGAAAGCCGTCCGAGATCTGTGTTTGCTAGGAAACACTTGGGCTTACCGACTTGTCCGTGGCAACTGAATCTTTTGTTTGCCGGCCAGGACGGTGTGCGATTGTTATTGAATGATCGATAGTGGTTGCGGAGCAGTCGGGGCCCTCGCTACGAGGGGTCGTGTTTCTATGGCCCCTCGCCATTCTGTCCCTGAGGGCCCGATGCAAAACGACGCCCCGAAAAGAGTTGGGATCCTTAGGGTGTTTTTTTTATTATGGCCGCACGCAGCACTGAACCCAAGTCTGTCAAATTTACATTAAAACAAGACATAGTAGTGATAGTCATAGTCATAGTCATAGTGTAAACATTTACTAGACTGTGTGTGACATGTATTAATATGTTACACAACATGTTATGCAAGTTATGCAACATGCATCGCGTAACTCATGCAACATGTACTGTATGGCTCGCGCTGTAACAGTACGTTATGTATGACTCTATGTAAAATTATAGTCTATAACCATAGGCCGATACAGATATTCCGTGATAATTCACGACTTTCGTATTTTCAAATTTTTTCTTGGTTCCCAGTTCCAAGTTCCCGCAGTGTTGCAATCCGAGGCTTGATCGGGACCAGCACAAGAAGCGGTTCGACTCGCGGACCAAGTTGCTGTTGAGCGCCTCGGAGTACCAAGCCAAGAACTTGCTGCAAGACCAGGCGGTTGGCCTCACCTTGCAAGAGCCAGCAGGTTCATCAGCAGCCAGCTTGGCAGGCAAGAATGAGTCCGTAGTCGACGCTGCCACTACCTTAGCGATGGAGGTGGAACTGGATGAGGCGGAGGACGAGGCGGAGGCTGCAAACTTGGGGCTGCAAGGGCCCAAGAAGAGGGTCAGCAAGGGCAAAGCGAAGCGCACTCACGAGGATATGGCCCAGGAGGAGTTTGACCGTGTGAAAGGGGAAGTGCGAAACTTGGCCATGTCTCTTCAGAAGTTTCCAGAGTCCCCCAAAGGCCACGAGGTGGGCCGAGTGGACAGGCTGCTGCAGAGGAAGGTCAAGGAGTGTCGTGACAACAGCAACTTTGAGATGGGCGAGGAGGTCAGGAAGCTTGTCGGCATGCTGGACGCCATCCGATCGACTCTCAAGGTGGGCGTCTCTTACGTGAATGGCGGGGGAGTGGCTCGAAAGAAGCATGCGGAGGACTTCTTGATCAAGTTTGACAGTCTCAGGAACGATTACCCTACGGTCTACTCCGAGTACCCTAAGCACGTGCGGAAGTGTCACTTGGAGGTCTTCGTGGTTCGAGACATCAAGGCCAAGAACTGGAACTCAGTGGCGGCCACTATCACAGTGGATGCCTTGGAGGAGGTGTTCGATGCCAAGGACGAGTGGGAAAAGTTCTCGGTCATGGTGGTTGAGAACACCATCGGCGCCTTCCTGAAGGACCTTGAGGACAAGGAACAGCAGACCGAGGAAGAGACAAGCGGCGTTGGCGAGGAGCTGGGCGATGTACTTGACAGCATGGCCGAGAAGACGTTGCCGGAAATCCAGGATGCAATGAGGCACGTTGCCGCGATTTTCCGTGCCCAGCCGCCTGAGGGAGACGAGACCATGGATGCAGCCTTGAGCGCTGTGGCCTCATCCGCGGACAAGCCCATTTACCGAGCATTGCGACAAGGCTCAAGTGAGTTTTTCTTGAAGCAAGCCAGCAAGGCCAACGACCAGCTGCTGGCCAAGAAGGACGCGATGGTGATGGCAGTAGGCTGTGAAGAGTCGCTGCAGAACTTCTTGAATAGCAGCCTGGTGCAGCAGTACATGGAGGGCGTGGAGCCTACTGTGGCGCTGATGGAAGCCTTGGTCCAGGCCGGCCGCAGCTGCTGGAAGCTTGTCAGTGCCACTGTCAACCCGGAGGAGAAAGCTTCGTGGGATGGCTTGGAAGCGACCAAGACCTTCAACCACTTGGTCGAAAAGGTCCTCAACGCGGCCTTGAGCTTTTGGAATAAGACGATGTTTGAGGTGGTGAAGCAGTTCCGTGACGATGCCAAACTGGATCTATCCAGTGACTGTTGGCGGCTGGCGGACTCTCACATGCAGGTCACCTTTCCCTTCACGCAGGACGGCCATATCTTAACCACTATCAAGGCCTTCGAAAAGGCCGGCGTGCTGGCTGAGAAGTGCGCGAAGGTCTTGGAGAGGACCACGCTGATGCAGGAGTACGTCGAGGGCTTAGCTGAGTTATTCGAGCTTGAAGTTCGTATCACTGAATTACATACGATTCAATTCAGTGATTCGTATGATTCATATGATTTTCATATGGCTGTTCTGCTCTACAGTTCCACACACATCATGTGAATCATAATGTTGGTTTACTTCACCCATTACAAGCCTAGCCTATCACTGCGCATGCCGCATGTCACATGTCGTACTCTGACTCAACCAAGTTAATTGTATCTGGGATCGACTCATACTGACATCAGATACCAGAGTCATATGAGTCATACAAGTAGTATGGTCCGGTCCATATGGTATGTGACAGTATGTGCCTATGTGACGGTGTGACTATGTGCGTTCCCTAATTTCCAATAGATGTGTTCTAGACAAAAATTTAGTTCTCTAAACTGTTAGTTAGTCACAATTCATGACATATGACATAATCAAATATCAGAATCATATGTGACGTGACACCAATGACCTGTAACATACCATGTAATCATGCACTGTATCATATCATGCCAACAGCCAACATCAAGATCACGTGAACCACAAATCGAACCGCATCTCACATATCATATCATACCAATCACCAATCACAATGGCACAGTCACAGTCACATGTCATGTCATGTCACTGTCACATGCAGCGCATGCGCAAACAAACCGGAGCAAAGCCAAAACCAAAGCATTCATCACATAGTATGACTATGACTGACTCATGACTATAGACTATAACTTTATAACTTCTATAGTCTATAACCCCACTCACATGACCTCACATGACTCATGACACACGTCTGTTTGTCACATATGACACATATGACACATATGAAGATGTAACATATGTCACATATGTCACTGTCATATGTCAAAGGTCGCATAGTCAGATGGTCCACAAAACTTCTCTTTGTCGCGCAGTCACATGAGAAGAATTGTCAATTCCACTCTTTGCTTGTGTTGCAGGCCGTTACCGTCAACATCTTCTACAAGTTTTTGATCAACTGCCGGGCTGATCACCTCAGCTTGGCAGAGTGGACAGAAACTGTGCCATCTTTGCTCACCACTGCAGACCTTCAGAAGAGCAGTTTCCTGGAGAGCCTGGAGCAGTTCTGCACACGCGCCAGCTCAATGTCAGAGCAGACGACCCGCAAGCTGCAAGAACAGTGCGCTACACACGCCAAGGCTGTCATGGATGCTGTGGCTACTTCAGTGTCTGAATGCTTGCCCGCAATCTGGGACACGTCCCTCCAGGAGTTCCACAACCGGCTGATGTCGAATACGGATGCCTTCCGGGCAGTTGTCGGGTCACCCGCTGACGAGTTCCTCCCGGACCCCGGCAGCCAGCTGGCAAACGAACCGTTTTGGGCCCGTTTGACAGAGAGTTTGCCCCCGATTGATCAGTTTGCCGCCATTGCAAAGATGGCCCCCTTGCTTGACAAAGAGGAGATGTTGCCCGACCTGGAGAAGTCTTTCCAGTTACACTCCCTGCAGGCAAGCGTCGGGAGATTCCATCACCAGGTCTTGGTCAGCAACCTGACCGCTGCTAGCCCAGAATTCGCCGCTGAGACCTTGAAGGACTTGTGCAGCACAGTGGACCTGACCGCCAAGGACATGAAGACCTACTTTGACGGGGGCAAAGTTGACGGGGAGTTTCAGGAGATAGTCAAGAAGTACGTCACCAAACACGTGGTGGGTGTCCTCTTCAAGCTAATCGAGGACTTGCCGGGTTTCTGGGCATTTTTACTTGCAGGTGTAAAACACGGCCCCAGGGCTCATTGGAGCCCTTTATTTTGCCTACCGCCTACGAAAAAAGACCAACTAAACCTTTCTTTGACTACAGGGTGCTCCATTCAACATCACTGATACTGTTACTATGAAACTCTGAATGCTGAATACGATACTGGTACTCTTGGTTTTGTTACTCAGACTTCCGAACTTTTCAGGACCACATAACTCATTACTCATGACTCGACATAAACCGACTTATTTCATTTGTCTAATCTGTATTACGAATCAGTTTTGAATCAGGAACCCTGAATGAAATTGAGCATGCAGCATGCGTAGCCCGTAAATTGACCATTGACAACAGATCGATAATAGCAATGGGAGCTGGGCAGAACGGTTGAGTTGATTCGATGTGGATTGACCACCCTTGAAACCATCAATTATTTTTGGCTTTTGGGGCACGATCCGGGTCTTTTATGTTTTACGGCAACAAGTTGGTAAGGGGGTCAAGTTGTGATGCTGCGTCTCAGGCAAAATGCTGGAGAAGAGCATCAAGGCTATTCCCCACGGATATGATAAGCTTTTTGAGAGGCGCCACATCCAGGCCATAAAGAACACGGTTTTTGCCAGGAAAACCCATCAGGATGTTTGCGGGGCTTTGGAGCCGCTGGGCATCATGATGAAATCAGTTGGTGCCACCATCAAGAACCTCACCACTGCCTCCCCAGCAATCACCCTGAGCACAGGGCAGCTTATGAAAATCAAGCAGTTGGAAGACAACATGTCCGACTTGAGGACCTACAGCACCTCCGTTCATGGATGCAACATCATTCTCAACAAGTTCCCAGGGAAAACGCCCCGTGAAAGGGCGGCTGTGTGCCGGGAGTCTCTCGGCCGAAAAAAATAATAATTGGGTGACTGGTTGTTTTGAAACTGTTATTCGGGGATTGGAAGCCAGGCGTTTGCAGCAACTGTAACCGTGTAGCCTGTAGCCTGAAAACCCTGTGCTGGAATTGTAGTTTGTTTTAATGGGGCTTTTCACAGCTTTGAGCAACCCTTCGAATTATTCCGAATCGATACGAGTATGAGTCATGAGTCATGAGTATGATATGATACGAGCCTATTGACCTCGCTCCAAGCCAGGGTTGCAAACAAATTTGGTAGCTGGCCATGGTCAAGGCCAAGGCTCGGGCCCCTGCGTAGTGCCACGGGCCGGCCACGGGTAATTCGCCAGCGCGGCGTTGGTTGCACTGGCATTGGCCGAGGGTTGGTTGTGTTCTGCTGGTGTTGCTGCTGTTGTACCATTAGCCATAGGCCATGGGCTATCAGGCTATCCTATCCCAGGCATCCATCCAATGCAATCATTGATTTGATAGTTGGTTAGTTCTTAATTAGTAGCTATTAATTAGAAAGTAATTATTAGAGTAAGTAAGTTTCTGTGGTCTATTAAAATGGTTGTCTAAGAGTTGTCTAGTTGGTCGGTCTAGCAAGAGTCACCCTCCGCTCCAGAGCCGAACTTGACTTGGCTGCTTCATGGCTGGCCGGTTGAACTGATTGCGTTGATCTGTTAATGTTTATCAGTTCATGAATCTGATTTATCAGTGATTTGTTTATCATCAATTAGTGTTTATCAAGCTGTTTATCAGTATCAGTGACAGTTTGTTGACCCTCATCGATTGGCTTATCCTGCTGGCCGGGCCTTATCGTCTTCTTACCTATCATTAATTTCAAGATTCAATCAGAAATGGTTCAAGTGCTGTTGAGGCGTTGTTGAGGACTGTTGGTGTTGGGGTGTCGGTGTGAATGATTGGATGGGTAGGTCCTGGTATGTATGGTCCAATGGTCCTCGGTATCCGTATCATTAATGAGACTCATGGTTCTCAATATTCAGTTGCATGCAAATATGTTTCAGTTCAATTATGCATTGGAGTCGAGAATCAGGCTTGGACCAGCGCAGGGTGAGCTTTAAGCTTAGGGTTTAGGTTTCCCGCCTTTTTCTTAGTAGAAGGCATTGGCAATTTTGCCGGCTATGGCTATGGCCCATGGCTAGGCTATGGCTATGGCCCGCTATGGCCTTGATCAGGTTTGCAATGTCACAAATGTTGCAAATGTCTAATGATTCAAATGTGAAAGAAGCGCTATGTTGAGGCATCTTTTTGGCTGAGAGTGGCAATTGGGGAGACCGACCCAAGACAACTCAAGAATGGAAGTTGGGTTCTACTTTCAATAGGGCCCCTATTGTTCCCACATATTTTGAATTGCTTCTTGTCTGACTTCACCTGACGAGATGGCTGCGTGGGCTCCTAGGTTCAAGAAGGCGATGGAGAGATCTGGGACATCCTGCAACAAGTCAGTTCTCACATGGCTGCAGGAAGCAGCAGCGTGACCAATCCATCCAGACAACCAATGTGGAAAAGCTGTGCGCGCTGTGCGGTTGGTCTGCGTGTGTGCCTATAAACTTTCCCATTGTATCTGGGCAACATGAGTCATAGTCCAACTACTCTTTGAATCACTTTGTTTCAAGGTCCCGGGAACTATCCCCAAGATGCAGAAGGAGTAATTTAGGTTTCAGACCTGCGCGGGTACCTAATTTTCAAAAAAAGCAAAGTTGCTTGTTTTTCGTGGTGCTTTTTTTTGTGCTCCTATTTGTGCTCACTGTTAGTGGTCCGGGGCCACCCCCAAGTTATGATTTTGTCATAAGAGAGTTTTGGTCTTGTTGGTATCGCCGCAAGTGGGGTTAAACCACAACCATCGCTACTGCAGATGGACAACATCCATTTCGCGCCACCTAAAATGAATGAAACCCTAGACATGTTGGGATGCACCACCCCACCAACTGGTGCCTCCACCGATTCCACAGGTAAACTCTTGGGAAACCACAATGCAAAGCCTCATTCTCCAACTGCTGCCTGCTTGTGGGTTCGTAGCACAAAGCTCTGTGGTCACATCCCGGCATACCCCTCGCCAGTCGTCCATGGAAGAAACAGAAGCGAATGGAACTGCAACCAAGGCTTCTGGTCAACTAGGTCCTCCAGTAGAGAGGTTAGACTAAGGGTACCAACCTTTTTCTAGTCTATTTTAGTCGACCAAAACCCTCCGAACCCCCAAAAAACATGGTGAGAAAGTTGGCACCAATCGCTGGGGGCATCTATAGTCAAGGTTCAACCCTCAACCTAGGATGCAAAGCTGGTCTTTGCTCATCAATGGCCAAGATGTAAAATGTTTGGAAACGTTGACTCGGGGATTGTACGTCGTCCATGGTACTTGTTCTTGATGCTGGCCATGGAAACGCGCAAGTGTCTTCTTTCCCTCCCATCCCCTACAATTCCGGTTGGGCAGCCGGAAGCACAAGGAACCCTGTTGTAAAGAACAAAATTAAATTTGCAAGCCAAGACCTGGTATTCAAAGGGTTCTCCCAACACCATGCTAAAACGTCAAGAGAGCTCTGACCAGGGTTGCGCTGGAAATGAGGGGCCCGACTCGAATCCAGTCCCCTCCAGAATTGAGGGGGACGCAATTTGTCCCTTCACCCCGCCAGGAGAAAGAAACACGACCCCTCCTGAAAAGAATGCTGATTGAGCAGAATGGGGCAGTGTACCCCCACAATGACTTAAACCCAGGGGTAGGTCATGTACCCAAACACATAAACCCAAACAAAGGCAACCCCTGAGATAAAGTCCACTTGCAGATAATGAAAAATGGAACCCTGGAATGGGGATTCCGCTCTGTCAACCACCAACCCCAGAAGCCCATAACTAAGAGACAAGTAGCGAGGCAAAAGCCAGGTTGCGGAGTTGAACAAATGTGACCCAGACCTGCCGGAAAGAAAAGGGGACCCCTTGGCGGGTGAACCATTTGTAGTGAGGCCTACCAATCAAGAAAAGGTAGCAGGAATGCCGCGCGAACGGGGGGTTTCAAGCCGCATCGACCAGCCCCACCCCGTCCCACCCACGTGTTCCAAGGCTCCAAGTCTCGCACGTAGGAGCGAGGGATGGAGAGCACCGGCTTCACCGCGCAGCCTCAGCTTCTGTCTTGACTTGGGGGCTTGCCCATTTGAGTCACAATCAAAACCTGGTACAAACCTAGGCTGGAATTAGGACCCCAGCAAAAAAAATATTTTTTGCCTGGTTAGTGGAAAACAAAAGGAAACCCCAAAAAAGCAAAAAGGGGAGCTAATTCTGGGGAAGAAACATGGTGAACCCAGAGCCATGTGAAGAATTTCCAAGGCGGCCGCAACTGATTCCGGCTGGGACTTCCCCTTGCTAACCTTCACCTACCCAGTGTTTGACTGAGTCTCATTTACAATTCGCTTGGATCCGTTTCAGCCCTCACCCGCGCAGTGGGGCTTCACCTTCACCTATCCCTCTCCTTGTTCTTGGCCTCAGCGGTTTAGCGTGGCTGTAGCTCTGGCTCTGCCCTTCGCACGCCCCCAATCCCTGCTGTGGCCCGCCCCAGCCGTGGCCCAGTCACCTAGCCCCAGCCCCAGCTGTGGCCCAGCCACCTAGCCCCAGCCCCCTTGGACTACTGTGCCTGTCCTGTGCCAAGTGGATACCTTCACGCAGCTGATGCTTTGAAAGGGAAGACACATGCCACCCACCGAATGAGCAATCCAGCTGAATCGACGGCACCCCAAGGCAATGCCATGAGAGTAATCTTCAACCGTGGCCAGGCAGGAACGTGGTTTCTGGCCAGCTGCCCAGCTTCCCCGTGCGGCCCTGGAGTAAGAACGGAGATCAAAGGAAGCGAGCAGCTGACTCCCCTGACGAGCTTATCACTTTCAATGAAAAGCCCTGGGCTACCCCCATGCTCCCATTCCAGGGTAAAGAACCACTTTGGCCACAAAGGAAACCAACTCTAATTTGGGTACGTCCAGTAAACCTCATCAGGGATCCTTACATGAAAAACACCTGAACATTGCCTTGTAAATGTTGGTTTCCCTTTGTTTTGGTGGAAAAAGCCATGTTTCAAATGTGCAAAATGTATCTTTTAAGGAGCCCTGCTCATCTTAGTAGGTTTATAACCCCATTTGCAAGCAAACAGAGGCAGCATCTGGCTTCAAGGCTTTCCTTTCGATTGGCCAAACACCTGGCGCGCGGCCGTGGGCGTGCCGGATGTTTCGGAAGGTGGTGACCCCTCCCACGGCGGAGCCGCCGCAGCCGGGGTTGGAGGCGTACTTGCAGAAGGCCTGAAGTTGGGGCTTCCATTTGGTTAAGACCACTGGAAAAATGATAAAATATGTCCAGTCGTGATAAATTCGTTTTCAAACCAACAAGGGGAAGTTGAAAAACAAACTTAAGCAAATGGAAGGGGGTCATGCTTTTTATAATTCTTGAAGGTTGTGGGTTCCTCTCAAAATCGTGGAACCCGCAAGCAATGGCACTCTGGGTTATGCGTGTGTCTCAAAGTGACCCCCAAACAATCAATGGCTTTGCATGGTGGGTTTATGGGCTTGGTCGGGTCGGGCCAACCTGATTAAACATGTACCAAACTTATTTCGGTTTGTAAGAAAAAACGGCTAGGGTTGGATGTTCAAGAAGTCTCCGAGCCCCTTTTGTAGATCACCTGGGCTCAATGCAAAGCCGTTTTTTCCCATTGTTTGACGGGCTAAGGCCAAACCAATCACCAGCTATGCGCTGGAATCAAGTCAGAGATTTTGGGGTGGTGTCCCAAACCCCCCCAACACTGAGGTGACTTTGATGGGAAAAGAAAGACACCCTCGTGCAAGCTCCCATGGTTGTTGGAGGGAGGGTACTTAGCCTGCCCGACTACCCAAAAGTCAGGAAGAAGCCCTTGCAGGACAAAAAAGCTCACACACACAAAGTGCCTCAATGCCCACGTTGGCATTGAAAATGTCCATCAGCAAACCCGCAAGATACAATTTGATATCCAATGGAAGTTGCTGGGAGGGGCGCTTTATGAAGTATCTTAAAACCACATGGCGCAAACTGACCGCCCGGCCCCTAGCGAAGCTCTGGTCCACTTGCCGAAAAGCCCACGAATCAGAGGGGCCAGGTGGTTGGACCACGAATGGTCAAGCTTCAAGCTGTGTCGAAAAAGACAAAACATGTGGGGGATCCGGTGGGAAAAGGGCATTACTGGGGCACCTAGTGGGTCTTCCCTTAAAACCACCCGAACAAGGCCGCAACAAACGAGAGATCTCCGCCCGATCTCCGCCTCCTCGGCGCAATGACGGCCTCGAGTGCAGGTGTTCAACCATAACAAGGCTTGGCTGGAATTGGGACCCCAGCATTTGCTTCTTTGGGCTGGTTCGTGAGACCGAAGGGTTGGTTCGATATGGGCGTTGCTTACACATCACCTCACCAAAGGTGAGGTGGCGCTTCTGGGACCATTTCATATGGGTCTGTCATTTCTAAGTTGGTTTCCCCCCCTAAAAAAAGAAGAAGCAACAACAAACATGTGGCGTTCAAAGGGAAACCAAAAGGACAACCAATACTCTGGGGGGGGCCCCTAAAAGAAAACCAGAACTAGGTCCTCCAGTCGAGGGGTTAGCATAAGGGTACCCGGGTACCCTTATTTCTGTAGTCTATTTTAGTAGGGGAACCCTCCCCAAAAAAAGGATACAAGGGCACTGCTGGGAACCTAGATAATTGTTCTAGCTCGGTGCTGGTTCCGCCGAGCCAACTGCAGCGAGCCGCAGCCGCGGTACCGCACCATCCCCGAGGACCGCGTGTCCATCTCCATCTCGTAGCCCCAGGTCACATTCGGGACATAGTCCTGTCGAAGTAAGAATTTCCCCATGGTTTCCAGGGATCTTCTTTCCAGAAACCTTGATTCTCTCTTCGGCTTCCCGAAACAAGCTGTAAAGACATACGATAATCAGGATGTTTGTTTTGGGAATCCGTAAACAGACAAAGGTCAGACTTTCTCTGACTAATCCACTCCGTCAGGAAGTGCATTGAACCCCCCAGTCAGTGGATCTAGGCAGTCAAATCGGGTGGGGTCCGACAAGCCCTTTGCCATTCTTTCCAGGGATCCTTCTTTCCAGAAAACCTCCAGCAATCCGGGGAAAACGGCTGGTTTCTGGAAAGAACGATGAGGGGGTGATGAACCACCCTGGATTTAAGTCTACTCTGGGGTAGTCAAAAAGTGGAACCCTTTGCAGGTTTGCCCCTCCTGTCCACGCTTGTTCTGTCCCCTCTCTCACTTCTGAACACGTGGTTTGGCCAGACAAAGGCTAAACTTTTCGCTCACCGCTAAAATGGTCCAAGCCCAAAAAGTCTAAAGTCCCAAAACCCGGGAGTGAGCTCTTGTTCTCCTCTTTCTTGGATCTTTAGCTAGCATGCGAGCAAGAATGGGGATCTGTGAGACTGCAACGGATCACACTTTGCCAAGGGGAGGTTGACCCAGCAAGCTGGAACGTCAGAAATACACGCACGTTCTGCCCCACTTTGGAGGGTGATCCTCTTCTCACACCCGTAGCCATTTGGCTGTGGGTCAAAAATAGGTTGCGGTTTTCTGCTGGTTTAGCATGTGCCTATATTTTGGGGCCCACACACCAGCGGGTGACCGGAGTCCCCCTGCCAAAGTTGCAGTTGACTGGCGGTATCGACACCTCTGGAGGTTCCAAAAAACGAACATCGAGGAAACTGTGCAGGCCATGATTGCTTGCCCAGATTCGGTGCAGATTTGGGCGTGTGTGTTTTAGGGACCCCCCCCTTCCCCAAAAAACAAAACAAATTGAGGTTTTACTGTTGGCTTCCCTCTTAACGCCTTCAAAATAGTCTGAATTTGGTGCTTCAACAGTTTTCCCTTAAAGAGTTGCAAGGGACCAACCATTTCAGGATATGGCTATGGGTCAAAAAACGCAAATCGTACCCCAGTGAACATCCCAATCCCCACTAAAATAGAAAATGGGTCGTGCACCTACCAACCAAAATGGGATCCCAAAACGGTGTTGACAACCACGCCCATATCCCCATTCGAATGAATCGGTTTCGAGTTGCAGTCCTCCTGCCAGGGCGACTCGCGGGTCTTGTTGAGCGTGTTCGTGAGGTTGAGATCTTTGCCTCGTTTGGCGCAGCCAGTTGGCGCAAAAATCTTACACACGGTTGCGACTGCTAAAAGTTTAACTTTTAGTGGTTCAATGAAAAACCCATTAGACGATGGGATCCCATTTTGGGGGATTGGTGCACCACCCATGTTTGTCCATTTCGGTGGGGATTGGGATGTTCACCGGGGTTCGGAATTTTTGACCCACGGCCAATTGGCGCAACTTACAGACACCCTACATCCTTTGCTCGTTCTCTGCAGGAAATGCGGCAATGACGCCTATTGTCCAAGTGGTATTCCTCACCTCCATACCTCCAAAAGCCACACCTGACGATGCCCTGAAAACCTGTCCCCAGCTGGTTTCTCCAGACACAGCCTTACTATTTCGTAGTGCAGGCCCATGGACCCTCAGAACTTGGCAAGAACCCGCGGGTGCTAGAAGCTTGGACCACACTTCGCTCGGGAAAACACATAAATGTCGCGTCGAATTTCAGTTGAAAAGTACCTTCTTGACCTTGCTTGATTTTCTCAAGCCTTAAAACAAAACCAGAGTTTGTCGGGCCTCCCCCTTCCTTTATCACCTTGCCTTTTGCTTCAACTAGGTCTTCCAGTGGAGAAAGGGCAACTAGCTGGGGCACCTAGACATGATATTCATGTCCACTTTTGAGGTGGTTCTATGTAAAAAACTCTTGGCGAATTTCTCATACTTTTTGTTTCAAGCCTCCAGAAAACGGAGGGCGCTCTTTGACGCACACGTTCCCCACGTCCCAAGATCTTTGGCCAGCTGCTCGCCAATCGCCGGCGCGCTCCCCACGCATGCTGCGCCCTGCGAAAGGCGACCTGCGAAAGAAGCCGCTCGCTTGCGTTGCGTTGTTGTTGCCTTTTTTGTGATGTGTGTTGGTTCCCATATCAAAACCCGCCAAGACAAGGGCGCGCCTACACAACAACCGCCCTGGTGGCACCACCCCGTTTTTCCGTTTCTTTTTGGTTGTGTTGTTTTCCGGAGGTGGGTTGGTCAGGGTGTGATTTCTGGGGCCCTGGTTGTTTGAGGCTTTTTGGTGTTTGTTGGAGGTGTTTGGTGTTCTTGGAGGTGTCTGGTGTTTTTGAGGTGTGTGGCGTGTTTGATGTTGTTTTAATGTTTAGGTTGATTGAACTTTTTGTGCTTGTGTTGTTTGAGGTGTTTAAAGAGAAACCAAAAGGAAGCCAAAGCACCACAATGGAGTCCCATGCCGAGACAAACCTACCCGGTGTATGGCTTTCTTTCCGGGTGCAAACTTGGTTTGAACCAGCTGTTGCCTTGAAAAGAGAAGCCAAAAGGATGTCGTTCGAAAAGAAAGGCCTTTAAAGTTTAAACTTGCTGGTGCGCAACAAAAAGGCCCAGGGTGTTGGGAACGAACCTAGAGGTTCCCTCAAAGGAAACCGTAGGGGAGTGTTTATAGGGGTCATTCCCTCATTCCCTACTGAGAACCAGCGAGTAAACCATGGTTCAAAGCACCTTGAATCGCGCCCAGCCATGGTCCGGCGAGGAGAAAAGACCCACTGACTACGGCTATTTGTGAGCCTGGCTAAAAAAAACAACTCAAGGACATCTCAAATGCCCAGTGGATTTCCACGGGAACCAAAACTGGACGCCCTTTTTTTGTTGGAGTTTCGAGGAATCGGATCCCTTACCCACCAAAGGTTGGAAAAAGAATTGGCGGAATCCACACAGAGACATGACTTGGCCAGTCAAATGGAGTAAGCCCTACAGAAGGCAGGTCGATGAAAGTAAACGCATAACCTCCTTATGCTTGGCTTCAGGTCTGTGGGGTCTAGGTGGATCTACCCACATCAAAACCCGCCAAGAAAAGGGCACAATTTGGTGGAACCACCTGGCATGATCACCCTGTTTGTTCGTGGGACATGGGCCTTTGGTGGACATGGCAGAAATTTAAGAGCCCAGTTTGGCTAAATATATAATTAATATGGAGGTGTTGGGTGCCAACTAAATTCAGACATCGCAGGTGCTAAAATGGAGGATGTTTGAGCACCCACACTGAAGGAGCTCCGACTTGTACAGTACCTTGCAAGACCCAGGTGGACGGCTGAGCAACAAATGTGTGCCCACCAAACAAATGAACGGCGAACCGAAAGCTGGCAGTGCTTGCCAGGAGAGCCAACCCACACCCACACCAAACAAGATTCGAGCCTGCCGCCCACACCATGGGACGGGCACTTTTGTCAAATCTGGGCTGCTCTTCCACCGCGAGCAACTGGTCGATCACTTTTTGTAGGTCTCGTGCAAAGGCCGTGGCAAACCAAAAGCTCAAAGGCCGATCCCCTGCCAACAGTTTACCTAGTGGTGTAGTGGATAGATACCTCTAGCGAAAAAAATCCGAAAAAACAAAAGGACACGGATGCCTGGGAACCGCCAAGACACCAAAGACCAGCCATGATCCTAGCTTCCCCATGAAAATCACAGGGCTCAAGCCGAGCTTCTGAGGGAAGATCGCTGGCCAGAAGCAGAAGCCCCAGCGACAGGCACACAAACAGCCTCGGAATCCGCTGACTCAATCACCAGCGACATCGATTCTTTTGGGGGGGATGCGATTGCGAGTCACCAAGGCAAACATACATCCGAAATTGACCGACCCAAGGTTGGGCGTTTTCAGGGAGCGGATTCTTTCCAAGGGAGATAGCTTAAAGGGGAAGCCCTTAAGGCCATTGCCCCCCGGTCCATGGGTTTACCCTCATCTTGAAATACCGTATGAGGGTCCCATCTTTGCTCTTGTGAATTGTCACTTGTGTGGAAATGAATTCGACCTGCTCCGTTGCGCACGTGGACCCCTGACTGAGAGCCCGATCCCCAACCAAGGATCGACTGGGAGCCCTTGGCATGTTTGAACCACCAGGTTTTCTGTGAAAGCCCGATCCTTCCAGTGGATTCCGTGGGAGCTCGCAGGCAATCACCCATTTCACCTGGGAGTTGGCTACTTTGGGAAGAGAAGGATCCCTAAAGACAGGGAAGGTAGACGCTAGAGCTTTGACATAGTCTTAAGCGTCGAAGTCTCAAGTGAGTGTGCAAAAAAATCACTCTGTGCTGGGCTTGTCCGGGGCGAACAAGGCAAAGTTGAGGTGAAAGAAACAAACGAGACCCTCCCAACAACAAACATAGAACCTACACAGGAAACGGTTCCTGGACCATGTTCCTTTCACAGGGACCGGTTCCTGTTCCGTGTGGTTTTGGGGTAAACGTGGAAGCCACGGCTACAGCAACTGCGTCTCATTTTTGTCCTCAGATGGAGCTTTGAAATTGAAGACAACATCCACCCGACCATGGGAAGTGCGCGAAGCTCTGGAAGACTGCCTTTTTTGGGAAGGGTTCTCAAGCGCACTTCCATGAAGGAAAAAACAATACCCATCCCCTCCTTTGGGGAAGTGACCACTGATGCTATTGCGCTGGGGCGAAAACCTGGCCCCACCTTCCCGGATGCTGGGCTTCAGGGGTGCAAAGGACTTCGTGGCTCCCAGCGAGCAACAGGTGGATGGGTTTGGACCAGCCAGTGGAGTGCCCATTTGGGCAGTGTTTTTTTTGCGTGCTCCCCACCTAGATTGCCTACGCGAGCATCATGCAGCTCCCTTTTCGTATAAACTCTTGAGTCCGGGGGAAAAAAAACAGCTGCCCATTTAAGTTCAAAAGGTCTAAGGGGCTAAGGAAACACCGAAGACCAGCTATCTTAGGGATTGAATATAGCTACTTCGCCAAATGTCCATTGCCCGTTCTGCTGGATTCATTGCCTCATTTCCAGATTGCCTATATGGCTCGTACATATTGGTCAATACGCTAAGGATTGAAAGAAATGGGTTCAAGAATAACTTGGCTGACGTTGGAAGGGGAGCAAACATTCTCAAATTTTAGCAGTTAAGTGGATTTGGATTTCAACCACTAAACCACAATAAGCTCAAAAATGGGAAAAATGTTTCCCAACGGCCACCATGATAAGACACGGACAAGCCTCCGGACTCCAAGTTGAGTCTGGCTCGGAAAGGGCGGAGGTTCTCCATGGCAGTCTTTTGCACCAGAGGAGAACCTCCTCGTGGGTTCCTTTTAATCCAAGCCCCAAACAAGTGCACCCCGAAAAAAAGAGACGGACCCAAACAGGGTAACCATTTGCACAACAACTGGGTTGGTGACACTGACCCGACCAAAAACGCCAACCTTTTGCTACTTGGAGAAAAGAACAAGTTTCGAAAAGGCCGAACGGAAGCCGAAAGACCTGGCAAAACAATGCAACCTGAAATTAGCTTCCCGATCTCAGAACCTTCACCTCCAAACTCTCTGCCTTCTCCGTGCACTCAGTGGGCGTGTCTTCTTTTAATTTAAGGGCACCCAAATGCCGCTTTAGGTCAAATACTGAAAAAGTTTGGGACACCCAGAGGACTGAATAGGGAGGCTCCGATTTCAGCGGAGGTCTATCATGCGTGGGCCCAAACTCCAAGCACCAGCGAAATGACTCTGAACCCGGCTGTGGAAGAAGAGAAAACATCAGTTGGGCTTTTCGGGTTTTTGGAGATACCCCTTTTGGCTTGGTATGTGAATTCCGGGAAAGCAAAAATATACCGTTACCATTTTGGTGGTCTCTAACAAAAAAGACGAGCCACCCAACCATTTCTTTCAATCCTTCCTTCAAAAACCAGATCAGTTTTCCCTTGGTTGCCTGGGGTTTTCTACAAAAACAAATCCATGGAAAGAATGGCGAAGGGTACCCTGAGGAGACTTGTCTGACCGCATCGCGTGCAATCATTTGGCCTTTCGGAACACCGATTTGACTGCCCAGAACCACTGAACTGGGGGGTTCACTTCACTTCACTTCCTGAATGGTTTGGTCAGAGCAAGTCTGACCTCCGAAGCGAGAAACAAGGCACCCCCCAAACAATTATTTCGTTTACGGCTTTACGGCTACTCAACTCTGATTTCAGTTGGGCACCTTCCCCCCCAACCAAAACAAACAAGCCCAACTCGTCTTCCCCTTTGTAATGCATATTATACATATATATGTATGTATATATATATATGTATATATATATATATATATGTGTGTGTGTTGAAACATATTTATACAAACAAACAAGAAGAAACAAAGGAGAACAAACGGTCTTCAGCCCGAGGCGCGCCGCAGCTCGGAGGCTCATGAGTCCCGTTCCGCGCGGAACGGGCTGGGGGCTTTCGGGCCAAAGAGCTATCAAAGCCGAGCCGCAACCCATGGGCTTCGTCTTTTCGGGGTCCCTCCCATGGAATTTCTGGTTCTAAAGGGAAAACAAACAGAAAGCACGCAGAAGTTCTGGTTATGTTTTCGAAGTTCTATTGTTTAAAAGGTGTTATTGCTATTTTTGAGAAGTTCTGGCTTGAAAGGGAAAACGAAAAGGAACACCACCTTTTGATTTGTGGGGGGAGTCCCCCTAAAAATGAAAGGCACGCACACATGTCTACCGAAGCGTGTTGGATATGTGCTTCTCTTGGAGAGGTCCACAGCCACTGGCCAGCCGGCAATGCAATTGGAGGGAACCAGGGGCTCAATGCTCAGGGATAGTTTTTACCCTGCGGATAAGCCCTCGCAAACGCGAAACGACCGCAGATTCCAAGAGAAAGAACCCCTTCAAGTGAGTCGTTCTAGAGCTACCCGCAAAAAACAGAACTCTGCTTCCCAGCCACTCACAGGCATGGAAGGGGCATGTTTTGGGTTGCATTGGCGCAATGGGGTCCCCTACCAGAACAGGTTCAAATCCCTAAACTACCAATCGAAACCATGAACATAAATTTAATGCCGGAACCGCGGACCCAAAAACCAGCTTGGCCGCTTGGCCGCTCCATTCGGTTTAGATCCCGGGGCACGTGTTGTTGTTACCACAGGCACGCCGAATCGGACTCCGTCCTCTGGTGGAATCGGCGCATGACTCTCCGTCTCGAATAAGCCTGGCGCGGACCAACAATAAATGTTCACATTAGCAACATGAATACCGAAATGTTCGATCCTTCCAAGTTGGAAATATGAGGGGGTGCTCCCTTAGCACACCGCTAGCTTTTTCAGGACCGGGGCATCAAAGCGCCGCCAACATTCGACGCTCGCAGCTGGAGTGTTTGCATGTCCCCGCTCCCCTTAACGCCGAGAGCCGTTCCAGGAAGATTCCACCGCCCAAAAAGGGAAACACAAGAACAAGGACACCCCCGTGTGAATCTTGAATCCAACATGGGCCCCAAAATGCGTTGAAGCGCTTTAAAAAGCGCTTTAAAGCATTTTTGTCATGGATTCAAGATTCAAGCACTAGAGTTCTGGGAATCTTGAAACCTGACAGATCACAGGGCGATGGCCATTTCTGACCTGCGACTTTCATCACTGGGCGTGTCCCTTAAAAGAGGACCCCAACAAAAATGTTTGGCTTAATTTATGTCATTTGTATTTGACGGCAAAGCTAAATGTCGTGATGACGTAATATGTTAACCCAGTTCATGTGCTAACGTTCCTTGAAGGTTCCGTTTGGACATGTTTGGACACCCACCTTTTTAGGTATCAAATAGAAACAAACATCCAAGTGGGCTCTTATTGGGCGGCTCAATCAGCCCTGAGCTCCTGGCGTTTTCCGTGACTTTGTGAGCAGCCTGGTGATATAGGCTGGTAGGCTAACCCCATATCGTCGCGGATGCGTTTAGCAATGATGCTACTCAGGACAATGGAGGTGACACAAAGTATCACTAGTCTTGTTTTGAGAAGAAATAAAACACGGTTC